CCCCAAAACCCCAAAACCCCAAAACCCCAAAACCCCACCCCTTACTTAAAACTTAAAACTCCAAATTATAATAAATATCCCTCTTCACAATGGAGCCTGCACCTCACCCAATCAGTCTCAGGAAGAAGACCCACTCAAGGTACTTTCTCTTTTCAGAACCCCTCAGTTTTCCAAAACCAGCCGGACCTGGTCCCCTTTTGGGAAAAATTGAGCTAAACCGGCTATTTGCTGGCTGCCAAAGGGATTTTGGCAGATTTTGAAAAATTGTGTGTAGTAGGGAAAAGGGAGGATTTGGGTTATGGGTTCTTGGGAAAGAGGGTTTTGGGTTGTGTGTTTGGATGTCTGATGGTGTAGGTTGGAGAAGTTGATTGCATCAAAGATGCAAAGATTGCTTAATAGAGTATGAAATGATAGTTACTATAATTCCTATTCAGAAGAAATATTGGTTAATCCAAAAGAATCAAACCTTTACTGCTATGGAGATGACAAAATACTTAAATTAAGTTTTCACAACACCGGAACTTGAGATTTTATGAAGAAATTGAACCCCATTCCGTTATATGATGTTGATGGAATCCATTTTCACAATTTCCATACAAAGAATAGGAAGATTTTAGACTTCTTTCTACATTCATTCCCAAGAGAAGTAAATTTCATGACTATATCAGCAAATATTTTTCAGCATATTAATATCTCTTATTATTTTGACTCCTTTTGTACAATTAGCTCCAGTGTCAGAAATAAGGTATCCTTATGGAGATTTAAGTTCACTGAAAATCAATTGAAGAAGTTCCTGGTCTCCTATAAGCACGTAAAAGTAGTTTCATTAAGCTGATGCTATATATCTATTCCTCATGTTATAAACTTTTCAAGAGCTCTTAAGAATACCCAGATTAAGAGATTAGATTTCGTGATGTCAAAATTTTCCAGATCAAATGACCTAAGCAAGATGCATGGTGAGTTCAAGAATTTAATGGAAAGTCTCGCAACTTCTCCAGATCTAAAGTTGAGTCTTCAGGGATTGAGCATAGCAAGAGCAAATGTTGAGAAAGATAAAGCTCTAAATATAATTAGAGAAGCAGGATTCAGCCAAATAAAATTGTGAGGGTTTATTTAAAATTTTACAAAAAAGTTTTAAGCGATTTTTATCATGACTCGTTCTAAAAAGCAGGATCACTGCTGAACCGGTGGTATTTTTCATATCCACTCTTGAGACAACTATCTTATTATTAATATACCAATCTCTTTTTTAATTACTATTAGCCACCATTACTGCTTACTAATATCTTAATTCATCATTTTCTTTACACCCAGATCTCCCTTTGGCTAATCCTTTACTTACCTCCCCTATTTCTGGAGTCATATTTGGTTTATTGTTCCTAAAATCTTCAATTTTGTCAAATATTTTAGGGGTTTTGGGGTTTTGGGGTTTTGGGG